GACCAAAGTAGGTTAACTTAATAAAATAAAGAGTAAAGTGCAATTGTTTTTAGAGAGAATTTGGTACAAGTGATCGTCGGAAAGAGTTAGTGATTTGCGTCCCATAAACATATATACTTGCTATTAGAACCAAAAAAAAATATATATAAAATGTTTATTTCTAGCATTTTTAATTTGGATAATTTCAGGTTAGGTCGGGTCAGGTTCGGTTCGGGTTAATATTCAACCCGAACCCAACCTGAACCTGATCTGAAATTTTCAGATCAGATTTTTCTAACCTGAACCCAACCTGACCCAAAATTTCGGGTTGGGTTTCGGGTTGATCTGACCCGATTCAGAGCACTAAATAGAGTAAATAAATCAAAAATTTAGTTTGAATTTACTAATATAAGAGTAATATTAAAGTATTTTTAATTAGGCCATGCAAAGTTAATTTTCTGGTTTTCATATCATTAAAACTTCTAAACAGACCTGGCTACCTGGCTTTTTTTTAAAAATTTTATATATAAAAATTTTATTGAAATATCTACCGGTTATTGTATATATAGATATTAATTTTTTTTAAAAGTACTTAATATATATTAAATAAAAAAATTTAAAATTTTAAATTGACAAAAATTGACCTGGCCAGGATATGAAAACCAGAAAATTTACTTTGCTTCGCTTTATGTAAAAAATGGTTCTAGAATTTAACGCATGAAACTATAAATATTGATGAGGAGGTAAATATGTATTTTTATTTTTTATTTTAAATTAATTAGTGTTAATTCAAGTGGTTTAATTATTTAAAAAAATTGTTCTAGAATTTAACACACGAAACTATAGATATCGATGATGAACATGAGGAAAGAAATGATGGGTAAATAAATCAAAATTTTAGTTTAAATTCTACTAATCAGAAGAGCAATTATTCAAGTATTTTTAAATATACAAAAAGCATGAAACTACGGATATTCACAAAATTAATAACAATTTAAAGAATTTTACAAATCCATACGTTCTTATTACAGAGAAACCTCTATCAGCAAGTATTTTTTATATTAATGATTGCATAAGCATCAACATAATAATTGAATTTTAAAGATAGATAATTAATTATTTTATTTTTATTTTCATAGTTAAAGAAACGTAGATGTTTAGATATTCCTGTAGATTCAGTATTTATGAAACCTATAACAAATAATCAAAAGTGAATAGCAGATCAAAAATTTCAGGATATATGCTATAATTTTAACTTGTTTTTTAATATTTCACAAGTTTATTCGAAGAAAGAAACCAAAATCGATAGGTAAGCTAACCTTTTACATTACTAATCAAAATACTAAATTAATGATTTGAAATTATATTTTAAATATTTAGAAGCTTCAGATTCTTTAGATTCGGCTTCAGAAGGTTCAGATTTGACTTCAGAAGCTTCAGATTTGGCTTCAGAAGCTTCAGATTTTTTAGATACAATTTCAGAAATAAACAGCCTGGTAAGTAAAAAAAATATATATATAATTTACTAATTAATCCAAAAATTAATTATTTAGCAACTATTCGATTTTGATATAAAGTCATATAAAAAACTTATAATACTTAAGATTAACTTTTTTTAATAATCACAAAAAGAATGAATCTCCTAAAAAAAAGAAAAACGTGCTATTGTTGAAGCAAAAGAATCTAATATTCATGAAATGAAAGAAAGAAAAGAATTTAGTATATGAATATATACATACTGAATATATATATATTTTTTTTTATTAAATTTTTTTCAAACCATCAACTTATAAATTCACTATCGCTATAATGCAATCAGGTTATATTAATTCATTAAAGAAAAAAAGGAGAGAAAAGAGAATGCTCGAAACTTTTGTGTCTTAAGACCCAACAAAAATATTTGAAATGTACTTTCAGCCTGTCAACAGATATTTTAATGAAGCCTCGATATTATCATTAGAACCAGAACCATTGCCAATGCTAATGGAAGATGTTAATAGTTGCACCTCTTATCTTCGAATTTGGGATTCTCATTATATTTATTGTATAAGAGAAATCGGAAACCAGAATTACAAAATATTAAAACTTATTTATTCATTATCTGAAGTTTTTTTCAACATGTTAAAGATTTGTCATCAAGAACAAGATAATGAAAAAGCGTTAGAGAAAAGTACAGATTATTGGAAGGGAGGGATATTAAATCACGAATGAACAAACTCTGAGATATTAGTTCACGTTCAATGCTAAAAAAATAGATAGGATATTAGAGACTATGCTATTTTCTTTGGGTGACAAATGTTACACCCAAAAAAAATGGTCAACGTAAAGTTGAATGCAAATTTTTTTTCTTCATGCTACAGAAAATAAATACAACTTTCTCATCAAAAAATTATTAGGGGAAGAATTCCCGAATTTTTCAAATATTAAAGGTGAAAAAATATTGAACTTAGTAAATATTGCTAAAAAGTTTGTAAATAAGATACTTGATTTTTTTAAAAAAATCTGTAGAAAGTTAGAATTTTGCTGATAGCTATATTTATATTTTTCTGAATACTTTGCTTTATTGTATTTAAATTTGAGGATGTAAGGTATGTAATCACAAAGCTTAATGTTAATTATTTTATTAAAATATCGCTATATATTTGCATGAAAATATAATTTTTATCACAATTATTCCATTTTATTCCAATACAGTATCACCAAAAAAAAAAAATTCAATTTTCAGAACAATTTTCAGTTTCTGAAGAATATCGAAATAAAATAGTCTCATTATTCTAGTACTAGTTTTATAATATTAAGTACTTGTTATTGGTCATGTTGTGGATGATAACTGATTATTCACTAGAATACTGTGCTTATGATGTGGCCGAAGGTCATATCATGACGCGGGATCTGCTGTGAAGAAATCAGCGATTATCGGCCACAATTTGACCAATAATATGCTTATCCGACATGTCTGGTATAAACACAAAGCGATTTCTGTATAATTTATTCAGCTTCTTTCTAATACAAATATACAAATTTTCATTCATCTCTAAAGAGGTGATGAAAATTTGTGTATTGTATTAGGAGGTGGCCAAATAACTTACACAGAAATCTTTCGGTGTTCATATAAGACATGTCAGATAATATAATTTATTATAACGTTAGTATAATGTCGATATCGATACGTAATTCGGTAAGCTTTTAACTCTTAATTGAACATGAGACTTTATTAGAATAAAAACTAAATTGAACTTCTACAGCCTTGGGAGGCCGTAGAAGTTCAAAAATCGAGTAAAAAAATTAAACCAGATTCTCACAATATGAATTAACTAACATTAATTAATGTGAATTAGCTATGTACAGTAAATTGTGCAAATTGACTATTGGGCAAATTATAATTTATTTTATTTTTTATTAAAAAATCATTATTCAAGAATTTAATCAGTATCCTTCATTCAGTCAATTCACTTCAGCCCCACAATATTTCACTTCAATATTTTAATTGTTACAAAAGGAAAATCCTGATATAGATATATAATACAGTATTATTTTATAACTATAAATTATTTCTACATATATAGGCTCTTTCATTAATCTCAAAATTTACTTATCTAATTTTCAAATTATTAGAGTTAAAAATATAATATTTACTGTATTCCAAACTTCTTAATCCCTACCTAAAATAAATACTTTACTGAACAAATGTATTCTTACCTTTATCAGTAATATCGGCTAATTTAAATTTTTGCAAGATTAAACAAATATAATATTATTTTTTATGTTGAAATTTGCTAATTGGTAATTACCACATATTTTTTAATATTAATTTATTTATTATTAGTCTGTTCCAAGGAATAGAGTAAAAAACAAAAAGTAAAAACAAAAATTAAGCAATTGCTACAAACAATTACCATTAAATTGTGTATGTATTCTTGCAATATTTACCAATTCTAATATAGTTTCTCCTTTAATATTATGGAATTCAGGGAATTCTGTAATTCTTTAATTAGGAAATTATATTTGCTTTTACTTGCACCAAGAAAATAATTTGCATTTCATCTGGTATAATATTTGTTACCCATTTTCTTAAAATAGAGCGTGAATTAATATTGCTAAATTTTTTATTAATCAGAGCCTTTAAATCATTACCTTCTATTTATCTGTAGTTTTTTCCAATGCAATTGCATTGCCTAACAATAACATTATGCAAAGATTTAAATAACTGCTATAAAAAAACTATCATAGGATGGCTAAGTATAAGCTATTAACGTTAAATAAATTTAAAATTTTTTAAATTTTTATGATTTTTAATAATAGCCATTTATTTTTCTTAGCTCTAACCTTTGATCAAGATTCATCGGAGACTATATGGATGTTCTTATGACAGTAATTTGTGATATAACGCTAAATATACCACCCCTAACGCTATCGCTATCCCTAAATAGACAATAGAAGCCTATCACTATAGAGACTTTTTTTATCTAAAAAAAAATCAATAATAACGACATGTTACGAAAACACGTGATAATGTTTTTTACGCAAAAGATCATTGTCTAACTGATGTCATGATTATCATAAAAGGGATGATAACGTATACTCGCATCTTTAGAAAATCGAAGAATGTTATTAAAAAAAATCAACACGAATAAATTCACGAATAGGAGAAAGAATCCATTTTCTACTTCAATTAAGCAAAAATCTTCATTAACTAGCTCATCATCATTAGATTCTTACAACTCACACTCTTTGTCCAATTTAAGTACTCCTTCTAAGACAATGCCAGGATCGAATTCGAATGAAATAGATCACGTTTTATATTTCACGAAACCTTACACTGAGTAGAAGCTAATAAAATTTCTAAAAAGAAAAAAATACAAACAAGCCCAACAAGATACTTCTTGGAAAGATGAATATAAAACTTACAAAAGACATATAAATCTAATTTTTGATAAGCAACTACAAAAAAAGGTTTATAAAGTTTACATGGTAATTTTAAATTTTGACCGCTTTATGAAGGCTAAGAAACTTTTTTGTTAATTATATTATGAAATATTATATTCGTACCCATATTATATAACACCTCTAATAGTATTAATTAGGGTTAGAGTCCAGCTTTAAGATAAATAGGGTTTTTTTATTATACAATATATATTAGATATAAGGTTCCAATAGGTCCTGATTTCAGTTCTCAGGGTCCTGAACATTTTTTCTTAGAGTACCCTGATCCAGTTTACTTAGTACTTTTTTTGAGATATCGCATAATGATAAGGTGTTGTATAATGTAGTGTTACAAATATGATCTTCCTTAAATTATTAAATTTTGAATCTTTTTTTTATTTTTGATTATTTTTATTGCTAGCTTGTTAGTCCCTGAAAAGTCGACAAGCTTTTAATTTAATTATCTGCTTTGTCAAGCATAGCATTCTACTTAATTTTAATATTTTTATCATTTAGCTCGTCAGTCCCTGAAAAGTCAGCAAGTCTATCTTTTTTTTTTTAACTTAGTTGCTTGCTTGTCAGTCCCTAAAAAGTCATCAAGTATAGCATGCTACTTTAATTTTATTATTTTTATCACTTTGCTTGTCAGTTAAGATACTTTTTTTGGTTTGTTTTTTAATTTAGTTGCTTGCTTGATAGTCCTAAAAAGTTGTCAAGAATAGCGTTTTACTTTAATTTGTCTACTTTTATCGCTTAGCTTGTCAGTTTCTAAAAAGTTGGCGAGTCTAGTTTTTTTTTTCAGTGTAAAGTCTAGAATTCTTTTTATTTTATTTTTGTTCTGCCTATACTTCACAAGCTTGATTTTGCAAAATTTACAAACAATGCTTATTGAATGTAATATGCGATAAAAAGACAAATTCTCAAACGAAGTCAAGAAGTTTTGGTCAGGCTGGTGTCAGCAATATGCGAAATCTGATAAAAATAAGATTCCACCCAAAGCGCAAGATTTTTTAGGCATGCAAAATTTATCTTTTATCTTGCTTTTTAAAACTGATCTCATAGATTTATTATGAATGTAGATGATGTATTGGAACAAAAATCCAAAAATTGGAAATCATTAGAAAATCAAAAATATGTAATCCTGATATTTAAATCATAATTATTTTCCTTTTTCACATAACTAATATTTATTACTAATGTTTTATCTACAGAAATCCAACAATAAGTTACCATCTGGTCAAACTATAGAAGATTTCCTGCAAGAAGCAATCATTCAAATTTAGGAAAAAGATTCTTATTATAATCATGAAATTTTTTCAAATAATATTAATACAAATGATAATGATATCAAAACAATCTTATCTATAGAAGATATTAATTTTCTGAATAAAATACAGAAGATTCCTTTATTTATATTAACACCTTCGCAAGTTAAACAAATTCATTTTTTAATCGATAATGAGGTCATACAACCAATTGAATGTATTAATTTTAATACTATGCTTGAGGCTTTGACAATTACCACATCAGTGGTTGAAACTATCAATACCAATACTGATAATACTGACAATACCGACAATACTGATAATATCATTACAAGTACCAATATCAGTACTAATATCAGAAATTCAAATACTATCACTATCAATACCAGTATTGATGATGTCTCTGACAAGAGTAAAAGTGCTTTCAAAAAAATAACAGGATTAATGCCATATATTAAATGCGTTATTAGAGAATTGTATGTTACTTATAAAGTGATTTTTATATATTTACTTTACTAACAATTATATTTAAATAGTTACCGAATTCTTAATTATAAAATAATCAAGCCTTTTGACACATCTATTAACGAAAACACGTGGACAGTTAAAGTATTATCAATTTTTCTTGAACCATTATTTGATTCTGTTCCTAATATAAAAATTTTTTGGTATGTATACCAAAAATAAAATAAAATAAAAAATACAACAACTATAATAATATAGTACTTAACTTTAAAGATTAATTTTAGGGCTGAACATCATTCAATTGCTTCCAAAGTACGTATGAACATTGTTAAAAAAACTGATGTAAGTAATAATCAAATTTAATTTATAGAATGTGATTAATAATAAATTCATTTAAATCAGGAAGAAAGGCCAGGCCATAAAGTTGATTTTAACATCACGTGGCAAGATTATTGGAAAAAAGAAAAATGAGAGGTAATTGTGAGAGAATTTTTTGGAAAACCTTTTGAGCCTCTTCTTGATAAGTGTTATAAGGATAAATGCAAGCTTTTTTGATGCATGAAAGATATCCTTGATTTTTATATTTCAAGAATTCTTAAAATTTGCAGTGGGATGATTAACAAAGAAATATATAATATCATTCAAACTATGAAAGTTTTTGGAGTACACACACATAGTAGGAATGTTTTTTCACAAAACTTTTAAAGTTCAGATTACAAGCTTATAAAATGTACCAATGTTGATTAGGAACCACTCTGGATATATATATTTTAAATAAGCCTTTTCCCCTAGTATATGTCATAAATTTGTGGTGTTCTCTAGCAGTTCCATATCGAAAAATTAAAGGTTTCCAAGACCATATTCATAACCTGATTGAAAAACTTTGGGCATATCTTAGAGTAATATATAAAATAAAGAACATCTTTACTTTATAACAATTTGACCTTTACTCTAACTTATTTTTCATCAGGATAGAATTGTGGATGAAATTCTTAAAACTATCAAAATACACGAATCATCTACTACTATACATGGCTCATTATATGCTAGCATACTTCAAAATTCACATGCAATAATCATTGTATCTCCTATAAAATATCAACAATCGAATTAACTATAAAGGTTGAATATTAATTAAAATCACCTTTATTAATTAAATAATTCGAGTCAAAATTTATTTATAATCTGATATTTAATAAATAAATGTCGCAACTAAAGCTTGAAATTTTCAAAAAATTTTGGAATGCATTTTTTTAGCATTGTTTTTTAATAATGTAGTTAGATTAAGGTTTAAGGTCAGTTTTAATAATAAGAGTATAAGTAGATTTTGTTAGGATTTATATAACTTATTTGTAATAATTTTTATAATTATTTGATTTAATATTTTTTAAAAAATTAATAAAAAACTAAAAATTTTGTTTTTTAAAAGTTAACTAATCAAAATTAAGTGTTGTTTTGCAAGTAACTTAATGTAACAATTACAAAAAAGTTCTAGTTATGTAAAAAAAAGAGGTATAGTATTGAATAAAGTAGTGTAATAATACATAATGATAATGATAAATTTTAAAAAACCTATAACTTTTTGATCCACCAATCCAATTAGATGACTTAACTGTAAAAATGATCCCCTCATTGAGAGGACCAATTTGATAGTTAAGTCATTTAGTTGTTTATTTGTTTTTATTATTTAAAATTATGATATATTTAATTTTAAAAGATTTTAAATAGCAATAATTTAATAAAATGTTAATTATAAACTTTTTTAATTTGTTATATTAATATGTGATGTATCAGGAGTAATGGAATTACCTATATTAAATATGCTAATACTTGACTTACGAATAAAAAATCAAATACCTTAATAAATTTTGTATTATTTATATTTAACCTTATTTTTTTCACATAATTCAATTAACCCCTTTTATCTGTTAACTTAAATGCTACTCACACATGAATAAATACCTTGAAGAGGAATCACACATCAAAAAAAATCCTTGAAACAAATAATAACTATCCCATTAATGATAAACTTTAGTATATTTTCAGTTTATTCTCCTATGGCATCAGGTGCCGTCAGAGAATGAACTGAGTTTCAATGAATCATGATAAAATTAAACATAATAATTCTTACATTTGTGATATTTTTGGTATGGACTTAATGTTAACATTGGGTAGATGGTCAACTAATTAAAGCAAACCTATATGTAGACACATAGTTAAACAATTAGGCCAATTTTTTAATATGAATATATTGTTAATCTTGAAGGTGAATTCAATAAATTAAAGTTTGTAACAACATTAATAGAATACCAAATTTTGAGATTTGATATCAAAAGTAAACTTTGAGTTTAAATTTATGCTATATGTTGTAATCAAATCATAAAATTTTACTTAGTGAAAAATATTTTAAGGGGTCAAATCGCAATGAATATTTAACATTAATAAACATCTTAGTTTAATAAAGTTTATTACGTAATTAATATATTTTTTTTATTAATAAAAAAATATGAGTTTATAATTTCAATTTACAAACATTTCATGGCAGACCACCTTTTTTTCATCCCTGGCTTAGCAAAATTTATGATTAATCATGCAACAAGCAAATATTGACGAAGTAAACGTAGTAATAACAAAATATTAATGAATTGCTCAAGTAATGATTGCTTGATTTATTATAGTAAATTAGCATCGTCACGTTAATTAATTTTATGTAAATATAATTATAGTTGTGCACAATTACGATCATTAGCTAATCACATTAAGATTGAGACTTGAGAACACACAGTCAGATGTAAAAAAAAATCAATTAGTGTGCCAAGATAAAGTGATAGCACAACCTAAAATTTTAATTTCATAAACAATTACACTTGATCTTAATTTTCAATTGGTAGACCTCTACCTAAAAATTATTGATTGAATGTGAATACTTCAATATCGATATGGTTATACCTTCCGTTCTGGTGTTCAGATTGGATTGTGTAACTTTTTTTTGATATCGATATTGATATAACGATAGATCTACAACTTTTCTTTTTCTAGCAATTATTCACGTTTATGCTTGAGATCTGTTTCTAACGAAATATGTAATGCAAAGAAAAAAAAACGATATTAGATGAGTATTATTATTTGGTAGTTTAAAAAATGACTCTCGTTGACTTTAGTTTTGTTATTCAAGAAGGTGAGACAGAAATTGAGTATGTATATGTTGAAGAAAGAGTTAGAAGAAAGTCGCTATGCAAGAAGAAGAAAGAGTTAAAAAATAAAGTTGTTGTATTTTTAAGAAGCAAGCATATTAGTTGTGTAGGAACAGGGTGAGCTTATTTCACTGAGTTAATATATGTGTATTGTATTCTGAAGTTATGCTGCCACTATCGATATAAATTATCTGGAATAAAAGCACTTCATGGCCAACAGTTTTGGCTGCTGAATATTCTTCCAGTTTTTGATATTCGGCTATGTCTGTTACCATGCTTCTGAATTTATGGTGAATAGAAATACATACAGACCGAGAATTGAAAGTACTTCGTGGCCAACTCTTTTGTTAAACGTTCTTCTTGGGTTTAGAAAATTCACGATTTTCTATCACATTATTCATTATTTTTATTATTTTTTATACAAAAAGGTGGTCAGGGGATGGTGGTATTGACATACATGAGAACATGTACTGTGTTCCTTTTGCAGCACAATGTAAAAATTATAGAAGAAAAATTGGTAAATATATATCTCTTTTATTTTATTTTTTTTTATTTAAATAATTATTTTATTAAATTTTAGGACCTGCAACCGTCCGATAATTGATAGAAGCACTCGCTTTAAAATTCAGTTTGATTCTAGATATTATAGTGATCCCTTCGAAGAAAATATATTCAGATGGTAGATAGATAAATGCATATACGCTAGGTGCGTATAATGCTGCAAATAAATTTGGGATTGTACTTACTGATTTAGACAATATTTTATTTGGATGTAAGAAGGGCAGTCATTGATCAACTTAAATTTTATTTTTTTTTGTTCTGTGTTTACAATTATTATTTTTTTGTATGTATATATTTTAATTTGTTTTATTTGTATAATTACTGATAATAGTAACCGCTCTGGATTTACAACAGTTTCTGTTTTCCTAGTTTTAATTAAATTTAAATATTCAAAAAGAATGATTTATAGGTTTTTCCTTTCTGTCACTCATTCTATATGATAACATTGTTTATAAAAAAAATAAAAAATAAACTAAAAAACTTTTACTTGAAATAAGGAAAAAAAAATTTGCAATTTATCATTTATTCGTTATTATAATTTTTTTGATTACGTATTGAATTTTTTTTTCTAGTTATCATTATGATTTAAAACTTGATTATCACCTTTTTCAAATTAATATGACCCCACTGATTATCTCTCTGGCAAAATTCCCTAATTTTAGCACTTTTGTTGTGAATAAATCTAAATTTCTTGCTAACAAACAAAATTCCTCTCCTATTTTTATTTTTCTAATACTAGATCTAACTATACACAAAAACTGGCTATAGATTTGGCCAAATAATATTGGGAATTTATTTAATATTAAGGGAAATTCTATTTCAAAATGACTCTTGTTAAAAATTTAGGGTTAGTGTTAGACCAGAAATATGTTGATGCTAGCTGAGGTTTTTACACTAAAATCTAGCTGGCATTAACATAATTCCGGCCCGCACTAACCCAAATTCTAGGGGGGTTATTTGACCTAGAACAAAATAGAATTTCCCTTTGTTTAATACTAATCACTAAGAAATAATAATTTACAAAACAGCTCCATGAAACCATAATTAGGTTTCTATATTTAATTGAATCTTCTAATACATATTGCCTCAAAAATTAGTTACGTCTCTGAATTTAAAATTGACTATGATAAGACAGAAATGAGTTGTAGAGAAATTTTTTTTTCTATAAAATATTTATACATTTTTATAATGATTAGATGCGACCTTCTAAAAAATATTTTTAAAAAATAATTTTCAATTGTTTATCTTATGAAATTAAAATCTATAATATACACATTAAACAGTAAATATATCAAATGTATATGTTGTAAGTGGGAACAGATTTGGAATTTCTTAATAAAATTGCAATTTTAGGGTAGAATTTATTTTATATAGACCTAAAGTTCCTAAGAAATCCCAAATCCACTTAAATTCTGTAAAGCATAAAAAATTAAGCATGTTTGGGTTAGTTGAATAAGCTAATCAGAAAGTGTTTTAAAAAGTATAAAATTCGTATTTATTGTTATAGTAAAAAAAGTTCATGCAGATTGTCATGGTCAGAAGGATAATACCATTACTAGGAGCATAAAATACCTTATTTGTCAACCTTTTTGATGAATAACTATATATTATCAACAGAAAGCTAAAATATTACCAATAGGCCTACCACAAATAGCTATATCATATAATATAGATCTGACAATATTATCACTATAGCAAATAAATAAATTTGCAAATCAGATCAAAGCCTAACAACAATTACAACTAAATAAGAAAAATAGAATAGACTACTAGTAATCACTATATCAATAGCAGCA